GCGACGGGCGCGCCGCCTAGTGAGGTGATTAAGAATTTGTACGTATCCATGTTTCCCAGCCCAGCCTGGGGAGTGGAGGGATACTGACTGACTGACTTGGGGGGGATGGGATAGCCACATGATCCTCCGGGCGACAGCATACACGCACGAGTTCCTGGCGGCGCGGGACTACACGAGCCCCGAGGACGCGTACGAGACGCCGTTCCAGCTGGCGTATAACACGCCGCTGCACCACTTCGAGTGGCTGGGCACGAACGCGGAGGAGCAGCATGCGTTCAACACGGTGATGGAGACGAGCAACCGCGCCGTCGAGGGGGAGCAGTGGTACGACTTCTACCCGTGGGCGGAGCGGCTGGCGGCGTCGGAGGACGAGGACGCAGACCGCGTGCTGCTGGTGGATATCGGCGGCGGCAAGGGCCACGACCTGCAGCGGTTCCAGACCGCCCAGAACCCGGGCCGGAAGCTGGTGCTGCAGGATCTGCCCAGCGTGATTGCCGATATCGCGGGCCCGTTGGGCGCGGGCATCGAGGCGCTCGGGTACAGCATGTTCGACGCGCAGCCCGTCCGCGGCGCCAAGGCGTATTACATGCGCACCGTGCTGCATGACTGGCCCGACAAGCAGGCCCTGCAGGCCCTGGCCCGCGTGCGCGAGGCCATGGCCCCGGATTCCGTCCTGTTGATCAACGAGAACACCATCCCCGAGACGGGCGTGCCTCGCTTCAACGCGAGTGTCGATCTGATCATGTTGTCTATGTTCTCGTCGCTGGAGCGCACGGATAAGCAGTGGCTGAGTCTGTTGGAGCGCGCGGGCTTCAAGGTGGTTAAGGTGTGGCGGGCGGAGAACCAGGGGACTGGGTCGAATGCGCTGTTTGAGGCGGTGCCGGTTTGAGTTGTATAGCTAGGTCTAGAGCGGGGGGATACCTGTTAATTCAATTCGGTTGGTTTTGTTTCCATGCATGGAAAATAAGGCGAAAATATCTGGCCTTGTTGCACGCTGTTTCATCGTAGGCTTGATGCTGGTCATTAGTAGCATCTATGGTCTTGGGAATTTAGGGTCTACTGCAATCAGGCGGGAAACCATTCCGATAGACGATGCCTATATCTGAAACCAGGTAAAGGCAGTTGAAGTGGACATTGCCCCCCCTCCCCAATAGTAGGCACTACACTGGCAGTAGACATGAGAGTAGGGAGATTCATCTCAGAAGAGAAAAAGAAATAGACAGAATTAGAAAGGGAGACTGACCAAGCCAGCTGCCCAGAAGCAGTGAAGTCGAGAAGTTAGTCCAGAACACATGGAGACAAGCCAGTAGCAAACAGGCAGGTCTCTCTATGAGTACTACTGTACATACCTGGCCCACGGTAACTCGGTTCTTCCACAAAAACGAATCCAAGTTCATAGAGCCGGGAGAGCGAGAGCGGGCCAGAACACTCCAACCCGACTGCATCCTATTTGGGCTTCCGTAGATCCGCTTATCAGTACGGCAAGCTACTCGTGCCAATTTGTAATATCCCCATTTTTCATAGTAGACTTATAGTATTTTTGTATATTATTGCAGTTAGTGCCATGCCCACTATGCTCCCCACTCTGTTTGCACTGTTTCAATGGTTTGCCTCCTCTGCCAAGACCCTTGCTTGGCTCGGAGTTAGGAGGATTTAGGAGGGCGGGAACTCCGGAGGCATCGGATCCCGGATACTTCCTTCAGTACTTCGTAGTCATGAATGCGTACAGTGTATACATGTGGATACATGTGGATACAGTCCGCAGAAGACAGCACAGTCGGACGTGCTTCCAGATTCATTCCATCCCCCATTGTGGACCCTGGTGGGCTTATTGCAAACATCTGCCAAGCTGCACTTTCATTCTATGTTTCTAATCCACTGGCATCATTGCCCAGCACCGTCGTATTGCTGAGACTAACAAGTACGCTGCCCAAACTATAAGTGTGGATCTCCATCCAGATCCTTGAGCAGAAGCGCATCCTGTTCGAACGTCCTCACCGCAGCTCATGATTAAAACTTGCCTGTTATTGAAACATGAGACTCGCTTTTCCCCTATCTGCTTTGACCGCACTCTGCGGCCTGTCCGCGGCCGCGCCCACCGCACCGGTCAAGGTGCGCATGCAATCTCCCATTCTGAATATGATAGAGCCAGTGTGCTAAGAGAAAATGAATTAGGCCACCGGTAGCTGCCACTATGACTCGTCTCCAGACATCGTGAGTGCTCTTCCTCCGCGAGAGACAGGGAACCCGCCATGCAGACACACCGCAAACTGACCTCTCGACCAGAGTGATATCGCTGGCACCAGCTACGCAAAGCTTGTCAAGGTGGCGGCTGTCCCATCGGGCCCGACATATCGTTACGTTTTCTCACATGCCTCGAGTTCCTCGAAGCCCTATCTACTGTTTATCCACGGATTCCCCTCAAGCTCATTCGATTGGCGTCACCAGATCGACTATTTCGTCAGCCGAGGATATGGTGTCATTGCCCCCGACTTACTCGGATTTGGTGGCACGGATAACCCCGCTGATCTCCAGAGATTTACCCTGAAGAGACTGGTCTCGGATCTGGGCGCTATTCTTGACTGTGAAGGCGTTGAGGATGTGTTTGCAATCGGCCATGACTTGTATGCCTTCAACACGGCCCACAGCCTTTCCTCCCGGCTCGGTCCCCGCCCCCTGCGAATTCTCCCTTACCGCTAACTCTGGAAACTAGCGGGTCTGTGGTACTCTCGCGTGTCATCACCTACTTCGGGAAACGTGTGAAGGGGAGCGCCTTTGTGGGAGTGGGATACTCGCCCCCGCCCATGTCCTTCAACCAGGCTGGGGTGGAAGCCGCCAACAACGCCAGCCTCGAGACCCTCGGCTACCCGCCCTTTGGGTATTGGTACTTCATGAATGAAGACGATGTCGCCCCTATCATGGACCAGCATGTAAGAGAGGCCCCCCCCCTTTTTTTAATTGTGTTCCTCCTGCTTTTTCTTGCCAAAAACCGCGAAAACCTCCGGTCTCACACACAGTGATTGATGTCTTCTCTTTTCCTTTTTGTGGGACAATCTAGTTTGACTCCGCCTTTACGCTTACCTACACCTCCAATTCCACCTATATGAAGGAACACTTGTCCCCGGTGGGAGAGTACAAAAAGTGGCTTCTCGCGGATGAGGTCGCTCCCTGGACCACATTCATCACCCAGGTCGAGAAGGAGACGTTCACGAACATCACCATGGCCCACGGGGGATTTGACGGGCCGGTCAAATCGTACAAGTCGCTCATGCGGGATCTCAATGCCGCTGATGAAGAAGGTAAGCCAAGTCTGCATGTTCGGATACTGCTCTTTATGTATCCCTTTTCTCTGGGAAGCAAGTCTGAAAACGATAAATAGCCATACCAGAAACGGACGCCGTCATCGGACATCCGGTCTTGCTTCTCACTGCGAGCAAAGATCCCGTGGCGATTGCCAATATACAGGTCTCCAATACCGCCCCCTACGCGGCAGATATCCACATCAAGTCGGTGGAGGCGGGCCACTTCTTGCAAGTGGAAAAGCCCGATGCGGTCAGCCTGGGCATCCATGAGTTTGTGAAGGAGGTCCTGGCCGCGGGGGATGCTTGCTTGTAGGCACAGCACGTCCTCCACCTAACTCACTGGTCTCGTGGTTTGCAAATAGCTTCTTGACATGTGTCTTCCCCGGGATGGTCGGGAGGGGGGACTTGCAGCACATGTTCTATTCCAAACTGTATGAGGGCTTAAGAGCAGGAGAGGAGGGGGGGGGGGGTGAATTCGAATGGAACGTCTTTGAGTGGGGTCAGGATCAAGTGGTGATTTTTTAGGCGAGATGAGCACTGCCCCCATGAACTTGTTTGGGGATAGTGAAAAGATAAATTCTATCCAACGCGTTGAATCGACTGTTGGGTTCGTCGGTAGAAGTCAAGCTACTTAGACAAAGTCTCTTCTGGATCGGCCTCTCGGGGGTCAAGGTCAAGGCTTCGGGGTGTATTGTGTCTGAATACCCCAAGCAATGAGGCTGTTATACTGACGGCAGTGTTGAGCTGCTCCAAGAGGAGACCGATCTGCCTTGAATTGTCTTGTCTGTATAAACCACATTACAGCAGAGAGGATCCGAACACACCCCCAATGTCTCTGCCTGTCAGCCAAGCCAGAGTCTACCGCCGCTCGACCGACGGCACCCGAGTCGAACCCGTGACCGAGGACTTCCCCACGTCCCTAGTATTAGCAAAGCTTGCAGTATCTTACAGATGGTAGAATAATAAGATTAAGAAAAGCTAATTCTAAAGGAATATTAAAGCAGTCTCTGTCTGAGGTTCGAAGTATTGCTATTCAATATTCTCTTAACAATATTAAAGCGCCATTCAGAGCTCGAAGAGCTGGCAATTTCGTTTAGATTAATCTGAAGAAAAGGCAATAAAATATTTGATAAAATATTTGAAAAACCAGTCATAAAGGGTACTTTATAAATAGCACTAAAACAATATCAAAAACTACAATATTTAATTGAATCTTATAAATATTATAAATTCTAATGCTAGGACCACATGCTCTATACATATAAGCCTGAACTTGATTATCTCTAAACAAATACTAAAGTCTAGTATCTGCAAAGAGAACTATCTCTGGATATTCATTAAATAAAATAGAGACTAACATATCTCACTGTCTTACTTTTACATTGTTGGAGATCGGATATTTCCAGACCATTATTTTTAAGAGAAGTAAGATAGAGTAAGTAAAGATCCGCTATCTAAGTATAGAGGACGAAAATAAATACTATCTCAAGGAACTTGATGATTGTGATAACAAATATTCAACATAGCAAAGTCAAGCGCAGCACTTAAAAGTACAATCCCCATCCCTATATACAAAATATCATACACCTACATCCAAACCAACCCAACCAGCAGAAAAGAAAGTGGTATAATCAACAGCAAACCCCAACAACAAACATCGCCCCCCCCCCCCTTAAAGTTCAGCTCAATCCACCCCAACTAAACCGGACTCCCCACACTCGTCTCCGACTGCCTGGGCGACCCCCTCTCCCTCGAAGTCTGGGTAATCAACACCGTCTGCTGGATCTCGTTCCCCTTCGTGGCCGCCCCCATGCCCCCCTTCCCCCCGTGGACAATCAAATTCACCCCGTCCTCCGCCGGGCTGAGTTTCGTCTGGGCGTGCTTCTTCTGCTTCTGCGCCCGCACGGAGGTCTTCACGAACCCAATGCGGTACGAGCCCGTCGATCCGCCGGAGGCGGTATAGTTGCTGCTGCTGTGGTTGGTGGACGGGCGGATGGGTTGCCCCTTCACGAGGAAATCCCAGATCGGCTTCGAGGGCGGGATGCATGCGGCGATGATTACGAGGGGGATCTCGAGGAAGGCCCACAGGTACAGCGCGTAGCCGTCCCAGGTGGGGTCCGTGCCGGCCGTCGCCGGGATGAATTCGCTCGTTTTGATGCAGGCGCATATGCCTGCGCTTTGGGGGGGTTAGGGTTGGTGCTTTGGTCTGGGGGGTAATGGGGATGGGGGCAAAGGGGCAGGGGGCTTACACGATACCCAGACTCAGAATGCAGAAGAGGACGATGCGCTTGCGGAGGCTGACTTTTAGGTCGATGATGAAGCTTAGTGGGAGGAGGGCGAGGACGAAGTCGAGGTATGCGCCGAAGGCTTTACTTGGTTAGCGGTTGCTTGGGGGCTTTAGGGGATGGTTTGGGAACCTACCCGACTGCAGCATGGTGATGTCCGTGTTGATGCGCGCGTCCAGACACGAGGCCTGGCCCGAGGTGCGCAGGCTCATGTCCCACAGCGCCTGGACGGGCTTGCACTGGCCGATCAGCATGCAGAGGCTCAGCACGGTGAGGCAGAAGTACAGCACGATGTGCACGGTCAGGAACCAGCGGCGCCACTTGGAGGTGCGGCCCGAGATGCGCATGATGAACAGCGCCACGCTGATCTTGCCGCACATCGCCGACAGCGCCGCCGGGAACTGGTTGATGATCTGCATCTTGCCGACGTACAGGATCTCCTCCGCGCTGAGGTAGGCCACGTGCCGCGCCCCGCCGCGCAGCTCCATCGCCGTGCTCATCGCTGCCGCTGCGGTGTAGAGCATCTGTTTGGGTCGCGTGGTTAGTGACTCGCCGCTTCTTGGGTCTTTGGGGATGCTGAGGGGGGGCCTACCCATGCCACGAGGATCGTCCAGTCGTCATACCCCAGGTCCTTTCGCATGCCCCGACAGTAGAAGCGGGTCACGACCAGCCCTACCGTGAAGGGGAAGGGGACCCAGAAGCATAAGAGCAGGCTCACGGCCCGGTTCTCGTCGGGAGGCAGAGCCGCTGACATGGCGATGCGTTGGTTTTCCTTCGCGCTGCGGAGGAATTCAGGACGCTGAGTCTGGCTGCTTGTGGGGATCGGCGTGAGGCAGGGAATGCAGGGTGGGAGGGGAGGGGAGGGGACCGGGGGGGGGGGTAAGCCAGGCACATACACTTATAGCGGTGGTGTCACGACGTGTCGATGACTGGCATGTTCTGCAGGGCGCAGTCAGGCCCCGTCATCCCATATCAACCACCTGCAGGGAGCCAGTCACAAGAGATGGTTGCATTTTGGCCCTCCGGTGCTCTGCGCTACCTAAATGGCTGCTGCAATGGTGGATGGGGTCCATTCGGTGGCGGTCGGCCTGAGGCTGCCTCCTGCCCCAGGGGGGCCCCATCTGCCACCAACCAAGAAGTGGGTGGGTAACGGTTGGCGACCGGTGCGGATTGGTGATCTCGCGTATTGATTGCGATTCGAATGGTTGCATAGTGGTGAGGAAAGACGGTACTATAGCTTACTGACTTACAAGTTAGCTTACAGTAACCCAGGCCAAGGGAGGGGGTGTTCACGCATGAGGTTGGAACGTGCAGTGTAGTATACGTGGGTCTCGCCCAAGATGTCAGGTTGCAGAGCCCCGCTTTGATTTGGGGAGGAGACTAGACCATGGCAGAGGAAAACAAGCGTGTTGTCTGTGCGAAAAAGTGAGTGGCTTGACTCTTGGGATTCGGCCCCGGGCGGGAGGAATCATGAAGACATGACTGACTACCCGGCTAGGGTTATCTCCGGATTCCAGCCCCCGCCACTTCAACCGTGATTGTGCTCAATGTTTCACCACTGCTCAATACACTACAGTAGATTTAATGATTCCCCAGAAGGATTCAATGTCCATGAGATCCTGGCAGAGCCCAGCAATTGACCCAAGCTCAGAAAAAGCACTGTTTTGTTTGCCTAAGGGCACAGTAGGTCACTTGGGTTGATTTGTCAACCATCAATCAGCCGCCCCACCACCCACCAATGCAGCCCCCAGGCACTGCATAAGCAGTAGTCAGGATAGTCGTATAGCCAGAACACTCAATACAGTACGTACAGTACACGTTATACGTGGATGGAGCCATGCATGCATATATACTTCTAATATAAGTTATTGTACAGTACACTATCTCCTAAGGTACTCGTTTTAGCCCCCAATACCACACCCCCTCTTCTCCTCTTGTCTTCATCTTCTCTTTATGGTTCCCATTCACACCCCCGAGTCGATTTCATCCACAAACTCATGCCCGCTGAAGTAAGCCCAGTCGCGACACGTCTGGGCCATGGTCTTGGGAATCTGCAGGTTCTGGATCGCATCCGGTTGCTCCACCACGTTGATCAGCAAGCCCGCACTCACGTGGAAGGACATGTGGCAGTGCAGCGGCCAGGTGCCCGGGTTGTTGAGCTGCCACTCCAGGACCAGGTAGGCGGGGTCCTCGGGGTTGCCCGGCTGGAGGACCTGCGTGTCGCGGCTCTGGGGATTGGCCGGGTTGGTGATGGTGCCGTCCCACGTGCCGCGGCCCTCGGCCAGCACCCAGAAGTTGTGGCCGTGCAGGTGCATGGGGTGCTGCATAGCGAAGACGTTGTAGATGACCAGGCGGATGGAGCTGTTGGCCCCGAGGTTGTAGATGTTCAGGTCCGGGCTCTCCGGGTAGGAGAAGTTGCCGGTGCGGCCCAGCAGCAGCAGCGGCGTGTTGTAGTTGGCCCGGAAGGTCGAGTTGTTCACGAAGAAGAGGTAGTTCCCCGAGGCGTTGACCCCCATCGTCACCTCGAGCGTCTCCGTCAGGGCCGGCGTCGCCGGCGGCGCCTGCGCGTAGTACGGCACCGTCGTGTTCAGCGGGTCGTTGCGACAGTTGTTGCTCGCCCACGTCGCCGTCGACTCGCTGGTCGGCAGGGCTTGGGGGCTGGCCTGCTCGTAGTAGATTGCCGCCTGCGCGGTCTCGTACGTCGCGGTGTTGTTCAGGCAGTACATGTCCAGCGTGGCGCGCATCCAGTACGCGTCCGTCGGCTGGCCCGTGGCTTCGACGATCACGTCGGTGCGCTGGCCCACGCCCAGCGTCACCACCTCGGTCGTGTACGGCTGCACCGGCACGAAGTCGTTGGCGATCACCGTCATCGTGTGCCCGTCGATGCTGAACTTCTGGTTCGCGTTGGCCCCCGTGTTCAGCAGCCGCAGCCGGTGCTTCTTGCCCGAGGTGAAGTTGAACCGCGCGTAGCCCGTCCCCGTGCCGTTGGCCCCGTGGCCGTTGATCAGGTTGTTGTCCACGTTGGGGAAGCTGGGCGGGATGGAGAGGATCTCCTCGAGCACCGAGTAGTAGTCGAGGTAGGTGTAGTCCGCGATCATCACCGGGCCCACGTCCAGGTCGTACTCGGCCCCGGGCTGCACGGGGCCGTGAATGATCATCGGCCCGTAGGCCCCGTCGGTGTACTGGGCGCTGAAGTGGGAGTGGTACCAGCTCGTGCCATACTGATCGGCTTGGAAGCGGTAGGTGAAGCTGCCCCCGGGGATGATGGGACACTGCGTCACCCCCGGCACTCCGTCCTCCCACGGCGTCTTCTTCTGCGTCAATCCGTGCCAATGCAGGGTCGTGCCTTCTTCGTCGTCGTAGATCTCGTTGCGCACCGTCACCTCGATCATGTCCCCCCAGTTGGCCTCGATCATCGGCCCGGGGAACTGGCCGTTGATCAGGATGGCATCTTTGGAGACTCCGTCCGGCGCCACGGTCCCCCGCGCGATGGTGAAGTTGTAGTACCGTGTGACGCCCGTGTTAGGCGGATCACCCGAGGGAGATGCGTCCGACCAGGGCGCAGTGGTGAGACAAGTCTGTCCATGTCGTTAGACAGTCTGAATCCGAGCGGTGGATATTTCCGCTGATGAAGGGGCGGAAACAATGAGTGCATACCTTGTCTTTGCGCCACGCGGGAAGATTGCGGGTTGGAAGAAGGCCATAAGGATATCGCGCGACTGAAGAGGAAGTCGAAGTCTGAGAGGAGGCAACTGCTGCAGCCGCCGTCACCGTCGCAGTCCCGGCGACGAGTCCCAACGATTTCCAACTGAACAGCATCTTTGATCAAGGGAAAAAAAGAAGACGAACTGAATGAAGCACAATTGACCACAATTGACCGCGTGGGGTGTCGTTAGGGGGCATTTATACCTTCATCGGGCGACTCTTTTTCCTTTCCCATTGAAGGGACTATTGCACGACGCGCTGCAAACCCCTTGCCTCTAACTTAGTCGTTACTGGGGGATCAATCCTTCGAATTCCCCAGCAACCCTCATATCGATTTGGAGTCGTCCATAATCAGGTGAGGTCCTCTGTGTGTCTGCTCAATTCTTAGGTAGTTTTGTAGTTAGTGTATCGCCCCCACGCCGTAGCCTGACGCAGTCAGACTATAGTTATGTAAACATAGCCTCACCTCGGAGGAACCGACAGGCTAGGTAAGCGCCAGCCATGCCTCTTGGCGACAATTATCCGAGATGAGGCGTTATATTGATCCGGCCACACGTGGAGACTAACGTTGCCATCCAGAAGCGATCTAAAATCTGACATATGTACTGTACTGTAGCGCTTTGGAGCGCTTTCCCCTCTCCCATTCGAAACGTGCCGCCATTTTCCGGGCGGTTCCGGATCACTGCAGACTTGCCTTGTTAGGGCTAGCATCGAACTTAGTAGTAACTGACTGTTCGTACTGCTGTTCTTACCGCAATTCGGGCATTGACGGGTGGAAATTACGATGGCAGTGGCAGTAAGCGGACTGGCGTGCAGAAGCACGTTACGACCTCTAGTCATAGTCAGCATCGGCTCTCCAATGAACCAACCCTGCGTGTCGTTGATTGGATTCTGCGCTAGCGCTTTTCTATCACTCTATCACTCTATCTCCCTCGTGTCGGTCCTGCCATCGTGCCTTTCAAGGCTGCATATGTGACCAGGGCATTGGTTTCTGGATTTTAGCCCCCAAAGTAGCCTCAATACACCCTCACCCGCATCTTGTCTGATTAGAGAAGACTATACAATGACTATACAGTGCTATGCTGAGCCGAGACGCTGTCTATGTGCCCATGGCGTATGGTGAGGAGGCTCAATCGCTCAAGGCCTGTTTCCTGCTGCCCGGTTTGACGGTCGACTAGCTTACTGGCCTTTCCATGGACATCTGAATACGAATGCCGTGCTCAGGGTATATAAGTGACGTTCGGTCCCAGAGGAAGCCCTAAAGAACGGGCCAGTTGACTGACTCAACTCAGGCAAATCTCATTCCATCCTTTTCATCCTTTCTCTCTTCCCTTCCCCTCATCTCCTCTTTGCCCACACACCAAAGAGCAGAGCAATGCCAGTTTCAACCAAGGCAAGCAACGGCAGCACGCCGCCCACCTCCATACCCAAGGGACCTCCTGCCCCCCGAACCCATGACCAGCCGCTCAGCCTCACCAACCCAGCCAGCTGGATCCCCTACCTCCAATTGATGCGCCTCGACCGGCCGGCGGGGTTCATCGGCTTCTACATGCCCTCGATCCTGGGGCTGGTGTACGCCGCCAGCCTCGCGGGGCCCGAGACGGTCCCGCTGCGTCGGCTCCTCACACAGGGCATCTTCTGGCTGGGAGCCAACATCCTGATCCGCGGGGCGGCCTGCACGTGGAACGACAACATCGACCAAGAGTACGACCGGCAGGTGGACCGGTGCCGGGGGCGGCCGATCGCGCGCGGGGCAGTGTCGACGCAGCAGGCGCACGTCTTCCTGGCGCTGCAGCTGGCGCTCCTGGGGCGGCTGTTCCAGCCTCTGCTTTCCGTTTCGTCTTCCTCTTCCTCGACACAGACCCCGTCCGCCTACGCCGCCTACGCCGCCGCCGCCATGAGCGCCCTCTACGCCCTCTACCCCTTCTGCAAGCGCTTCACCCACTACCCGCAGGCCATCCTCGGCGTCCCGCTGGCCCTGGCCATCGTCCTGTCCGCCTACTCGCTTGTGCTTGTCGGTGATGGCGACGATGCGCGACGCAAAGGAGACCCCTTCCGGGACCGCCCCACCACCGCCGCCACCCTCGCCCTCGCCCTCGCCGAGATCCTCTGGACCATGATCTACGACACCGTCTACGCCCACCAGGACCTGCAGGACGACCTCCGCGCCGGCGTCAAGTCCATGGCCGTCCGCTTCCGTCACTCCACCAAGCCCCTCTGCGCCGCCTTGGGGGTGGGCCAGGTCGCTCTGCTTGCCTGCGCCGGTGTCTGGACGCACATGCCCCCCGTGTACTTTGTCGTTGGCGTTGCGGGGTCCGCGGTGGCGCTGGTCGTCATGCTGGTCTCGGTCGATCTGGCGGTGCCCGCTAGCTGCGCTCGCTGGTTCAAGTTGGGGTTCTGTTTTGTGGGCGGCTGTATGAATTGCGGGTTCTTTGCGGCTTATTTGGTGAGGTGGTTTGGCTGGGCGTGAGGGGAGTGGGTGGGTGGGTTTGGGTGGGGTGTATAGGGGGAGAAGGTGGGTTATAGTGGTAGGTGATGTTTTCAAGAGAGTCTTCTTTTTATTGACTCTGCATTTGAGGAATGCGAGGGGAGGAGGGATGCGATGATGCTGTTGAAGGTTTTGGAGACGGGGTGTATACCGTGACAATGGGAAGCAGGGATCAAGCTGGGTAAGGACTGGATAGATTCTACCTTTCGGATAGCGTACACTGCATGTCTGCTGGCTTTGTATATAGTTGATGTGAGAATGATAAAGCAATATATGGTTCAATGATGTCGTACCTGAGACACTCGATATCTTCAGACACTCGATATCTTCCGTCCCTGGTTGATAGCGCTGTCGAGGACATGAGGTAGTAGCTGAACCGGCGTCTCCATGGGGAATCACCATGGAGCACTATGCGGAGTGAATACTAAGTGCAAACAAGTACTATACTGCCCCTTCACCATCAGGATATCGTCCAGTATATGTGAGTGTGGCACAAACTGTCACTGTTCTACAGTCGAGATGGTGGCTCGGAACTCCGTGATGCCGATGCCGATGCCGATGCCGATTCCGAACCCCAGCATCAGCCAAATCCTCGTCTTTTCACAACCTCACCATGTCCATCAAACCATCTTCCTTTGGGCCCTGTATCACCAATATCATATCTAATGCCACCCCTGCGACGCAAGAATGGCCGCCAGCCCGCATGCGAGCCCTGTCGCCGCCGCAAGCTCGCCTGCGACCACGAACTGCCCGGCTGTCGCCGGTGCGAACGCCTGTCGATGAAGTGCGTCTACCTCGCCAATCCGTTGACAAAATCAAAGCCTGCCAGCAATGACTCAGTCGAGCCGTCACCAGACTCCAGGCTAGGCATGCCGAGCATTCCGAGCGATAGCAGCGCGATGCCGAGCGCGAAGACCTGCCCTGGCGCGCAGTCCACCACGCCGATCCTCGAGAGCTCCGCCGAGTATCTGGGGCCGGCGAGCTTCACCTCGGTGTTCGTGGAGCACCGCGAACGCTTCGAGGTCGACCACACACTCGCCAGCCCCGCTGCCGCTGGCGGCGGTAGTGGTAGTGGTAACACCGTCCCCAACCTACCGTCGTCGTCGCCGATCCAGCCCGCCACGAACCCGATCATCACGCCGCGCCTGCTCCAACTCGGCGTGCAGATCCTGCGGAACGTCCCCGACGAAGAAACGTGCAACCTGCTCTTTGTGCGCTGCGAAGTCTCCATGGACTCGTGCTTCCGCTTGGCCAATTGGCAGGCCTCCAAGCTGACCTGGGACGCGTATCGGCCGGTGCTGCGGGCCCGCACGCCCGAGGATCTGCACACCCTCGCGCGGCGGCTGGCAGAGTGCACGCTCGTCCCGCTGCCCGCGGAGCAGGACCCGGGGCGTTGGGTGGAGTCGTTCTCCGGCCGGATGGCGCGGTGGGAGCTCATCGGCGTGATGTTTACCTACTGGTCGTATGGCTGTGTGTCCCTGGCACCGGACAGTCCGGCGATTGCGTCCTACTGCGCGGGCCGGGCGATGAAGGGCGCCAAGGAGATGATGCTCCACTTTAAGAAATGCGCGTCCATGTGCATTGAGATGTGCAGCGAGCTGGGAGGGGTCAATGTACTGTTCTTGCATTTGCTGTACAAGCATAATATCTTGGAGAGCAATGTGAGTGGAGACAAGAGTGAGTGTTTTTTTTTCTTTCTTTTCGGGGTGGGAAGTGATGGTTTGCTGACGATGGTAGGTCTCTCTTGCTGGCGACAGCACGGCGATACCATCGCCGTGACCACCTCCGTCGGGCTTCATCGCGAGCCATCTTCGGAGTGGAACGAGGTCTCATTTCAGCATGAGCTGAAAAGGCGTCTCTATTCGGCGATCTTCGCGTTCGACAAAGTCGCCTCCACCCTGACGGGTCGGCCGCCGCTCCTGAGTCGCAGATATTCCACTACCCAGCTACCGTTGGACATCAGCGACCATGATATCCTGTCTGGTAATGTGAGGAGCGCCGCTGCGAAGCTGGGTCCCGACGGGTGGGATCGCAATAGCGGTAGGAAATTCACGCAGGCTGCGATCCTGCGCGCGCGGGCCATGTTCGCGAGGAACCGCGAGGAGATATTGGAGGTCTTGGAGTCTTCGCTGGACGAGATCTCCGACTCGGCTATTGAGACATGCTTGTGGGTCGCGGCCACACTTGCCGTGGGTTTCAACTGACTGGATATAGTAATCTCAAAGCTCAGGCGTCGGCCATCTACGATAAGCTGCCCGAAAGCCTGATCCACAAAGTGGAAGATATCGACGATCTCGACATACCGGGGCATTGCCTGCATACACGGATCCTCGTACGCTTAGAGTACCTGCTGAATCAGTTTCTACTGGAAAGACTCCTGACGCGCCACAAGATCGTCACCGAGCAGGCGCTCATCGGGGTCAGCCAGGAGACCCTGTCTCTCACGTTGCTCTACTGGAAACACAAGGACCGATTCATGGCCCTTCACAACGATTTCTCATGGCTGGTAAGTACCACCCCGTGGGCTCTCACCTGTCCTCGTGCGCGTACTGATTGGCGGTGTAGGCGATGTCGTACGGCGCGCCGTGTAGTGGAATCCTCTGTCTCGAGCTGCTCCGCCAAGCGTCCAACCCCCAGGCGTACAACTTAGACCTGCCTCGCTCGGCAACCATCCAGAGCCTAAGCCTGTTCGTGGCGTTTTTGGATTGGCTCAAACCGTGCGGCTCGGATATCTCCGCCAAGACCCAGATCAAGAGCATCCTGCAACGCTCGCTCGATCGCATCCTCGCCATGCCGGCTTTACTGTGCAGTCCCGCGACGGCCATGGACAATTTCGGCATGCACGACTTTATCGGCGCGGAGTATCCGCATCTGGAGCTTTTGAACACGTTCAATTGGGTGGACTGGGATGGGGGGTTGTAGCTTGGCCAACATCGGCACTGCCTCTTGTCTAAGGTGTATCTCTATGCTTTAAATCTAGATTCTAGATCGTCCAACTTCCGAAGCACAAAAAGGGCGACATCATCCGGACTCCATCACTGTACAACTGGATCAAGATGGGGTTGATCCAGATCGGGACCGTCCACAGCATGAACAGCGCCACCCAGACATACCCGATCATCCTCTTGACACCGGGATTCATCCTCGCCCGCAGTGGCCGGGTGAGATCTCGCACCATGCTCTCAATGACGACCCCGACGATCTGCAGACAGAAGAACCACAAGGCGCCGCTCTTGACCATCGGCACCCCGAACCCCACATCCATGAAGAGATGAATGACCCCTGACACCGTGAACGCAAGCAGAGCCCGGAGGGTCCACCCCAGTCGTCCGCTCGGCGATATCCGCAGCAGAGAGAGCAAAAAGTCCGCGTTGGAGGTCAGCAGTTGGCGGAAGGTCTGATGCCACGTTATCCTGTTGCCGGATTAGCTATGCCTGCCCTGCCATGCTCTGCCACCCGGGGAGGGACAGTAAAAAGAAAACGGCCGGGGGGGGGGAGCGAGGAAAAGAAAAACATACCCCCAAAACCGCCTAACGGACCAACCCTCCCACAACGACCCAGCAACAGGCGGCCACATCACCGGCTCATACAGCCCCAACCCGACCGCCACGATGGCGCACACATTATACGCAGCGACGATCGTGGCGCGACCCACGATCCCAAACGAGAGACAGAACAGCGCCCGCACCAGCATCCGCCGCCACACCCCATCCCAGTCCCAGCCCGCCTGAGTATCAGCATCAGCATCAGCAAACGCGAACGCGAACGGCAACAGCGTCCCCCTCGCCTCCGGCAGCAGCGCCACCGCGTGACCCAGATTCGCATCCGCGGTCTCCATCGTGCACCCCTGGATCACCACCACCGCAACGACCACCTTCCCCACGGCACCGACCAAGAACCGTGCCCGGGACGGCACATACCCCGGCACCGCGGCGTCAAACCGCGGCAGATGCCGGATCTCCCACGGCGTGTCGATGCGCCGGTAGTTGAAGGCGATGCTGAAGGCCCAGCGCAGTCGGGAGACCCATTCTTGGGGGGTTGGGTCGTTTTGTGTGGGCGGTGGTTTGGGTGATTGCTGCTGCTGCTTCGCCACCGCCCCGTCCACCGACCGCGCGTACTTGGCGAATTCCCACAGCTTCTGCGCCTCGAACGACACCCGGCTCAGCACGAGCAGGTCCACCGCGTTCAGCACGTTCACCCACCCCATCGAGATCAGCGGCGCGCCGAACCGCGTGCCGCCGTAGTGGAGCTGCGCGCCGCGCTGCATCGAGTAGGCCAGCGCGAGGAGGAGGAGGGCGGTGGCGGGGCGCGCGGGGGCGCGCGGCGCGGTGAAGGCCACGACGAGGCCGGCGAGGGGCTGGATGAGGAGCCATTGTATGAGGGGGGTGGACATTGTCCCTGATTATCAGACCGGGGGGGAGGGAGGGGAGGGGGAAATAAAGACTACAGTGAGGAGGGTGAGGCTGAAGCTGGAGCGTGAGCCCCATGGACTACGGAGAAGGCTGTGGGCTTTATGGTCGTGCGATATGCAGGTGTGACTAAGCCCCATTGGCCTTGCATTTAGTGAAATTAACTTATCTTTGGTAGACTAAATTGGAATCGGCTAGACAAGAAGCGGTGTGGACCCTTGTAGTGAATGGTGTTGGTCATTCGCTGATACAAGCTGGGGCTGTTGTCGATCCCTCAATTACCCCTATCGGCGATAGTGAAGCCTTCGCCGCGGCTGCCAGGTCGCCGGTGCCTGGTTGCCTGAGCCCCTTGCGGCTGGATCCGTACTCGAATATAATTGGACAGCGGCTTGAACCTAACACAATCCCCTGGAAAACTCAATTCACCACGCTGGCATGCATCAACTGCTGTCACCAAGACTACTGGTTGTAATGTTGATGATAAAAAAGAATGACTCCGATGCGGGGAATCGAACCCCGAGCTGCTGTGGTATCTCGATGAGAGACAGCGATGTTAGCCATTACACCACATCGGAAATGTGTGGGCTGCATCATCCGTGAATCGAACACGGGCCTCATCGATGGCAACGATGAATTCTACCACTAGACCAATGATGCTGTTGATGGATAAAGCTTTGCAACTTTATTATATAGCCCCAAGCAGCGGCTGGCGGGTAGGTATGTATTGAAATTCAATTGCTTCACGTTTCTTTGTGGTTAGGAGGGGAGGGTGCTTTTTTTCATTTGGGGAAATATGATCAGTTAGTAAGTCCCCTATTTCCTTTCCTATTCTGACCAGAGTCCATCCCTTGGAGAGTTGGAGTTGTAGTCTTGATCCAGGATCGTCAACCCTGGCAGGGCGGAAGATATATTTCGGTCCTTGCGGGTGGTTCAAAAGATCCTATCTGACCAGCTGAGGTCACACTACATCGCGTCCAAATCCTAGCTTTCACCGGGACATCTATTCCACCAAGCCCTTTTAGGTTCAATCATTATTCACCCCCAGTCCTAGTCTAATCACACCGACAAAGATGGAGCAGTGCGGGATGAGGTACACGACACAAGGGACAATATAATCGTCTCAACAATAGAAGTTACATTTCTAGTACTAAGCTCATCACCAGTCGGATACGACCCTACAGCAATCGCTAAGTACACTGCACACCTCTGGCTCAAGACAGGAACAAACCCGCCAGCCCAGCTACCAGCATGCCAACGCTTCCCGAAGCACCAACGGCCGAAGCAGCGCCCGTGAACAAGGCGACTGGTGCTCCCGCGGTGGTGGAACCGTGGACAGACGAAGAAGGAGAGTGGTTAGCGATGCTGGAGCTGGCTGCGACGGGCGAGCTGCTGTTGGTCTGGGAGCCAAACGACCAGGTAGACTCTGCACCTGCAGCGGCGTGAGAGGAGCCCGCGGTTTGGGGTTCCGGCTGGCCCGGGAAAGCAGTGGCATCGGGTCGGATGACGGTGGTGATCGTGGCGGTGGTTGTCTCGCCGCCCGCGGTGTATAACACGGTCACGAGGGTGGTTTTCGGTCCGGCGGGGATGGATGAGGCGATGGCGTCGACGTCGGTTGGGGAACCTTCGTTTGCCGGTTGGTTGGGGCTGGATGCTGTGGACGCGGAGCTGGGGGTTGCATGCTCGGACGAGTTTGAGGTGTTGGGTTCGGTGGTTTTGGCGTTGTTGTTGTTGCTGTTGCTACCGCTGGCTGGGTATGTCGTCTGGCTGGCGCCGGATGTAGAGCCTGCTGCGGAGTCAGGGACTGAGCCCTGGGAATTCGGGTGCGTGCTCTCGGGAGACTCATCCATGCTGCTGCTGCTGCTGCTGCTAGCCTGGCCAGCAGTCTCAGCTGATCCAGACCCAGATCCCGAAGCAGAAGAGGGGCGTCCACTGCGACCTTCTCCGATGCCACCACCTCCAGAAGCCGACTGGCCCTCAGCCTGCCCGCTGAACCCCGTCGCACCGCTCTGAACGCCCGAAGCATGACCAAGAACGTCGACCCCAGCCGTGGTAACAGGTTGCACTCCCGATGCCGGCGCGGTCGTAGTACCACCGGCCGAGGGAGCGGCGTAAGCGTCGTCGCCAGCTGCAGCCGTGGGTCGTCCACCGGCCACCGAGACGATCGTGGTGGCCACGGCTTCGACCTGGGTCGTGATGTAGGTGGTGCGCGCAGAGGCGGGGCAGTTCTTGACGGTCGAGGGGCACGCGGTCACCGTGTAGGTCAGGGTGCGCTCCACCGTGGAGTAGACGGGCACTTGGTTGTTGGAGCTGGCGTCGGCGTAGCTGGAGGTGTTTTGGGCACCGGAGCTGCCATGACTGTCTGAGCTGCTGTGACTACCGGAGCCATTCTTGCTGCCCTCGCCGCCGTGTCCAGCAGTGGCAACCGGCACCTGGGTCGCCGTAGCCGTGACCGGACAGATGGTCGTGTACGCCACCAACGTCTGCGTAGTCACATAGGTCGTATGCTGCGAGGCCGGGCAGTTGGTGACCGACGTCGGACACGCGGTGACGGTGGCAGTGCGGGTGGTGAAAACAGTCGAGGTGGTGGACTGCGGGCCCGAGCCCTGCACGTTGGCCGGCGCAGTGGGCTCACCGCTGGCAGTGACGGGACAGATCGTAGTTCCGACCACCACTGTCTCCGTGGTCAGGTAGGTGGTGCGCTGACGAGCTGGGCAGTTGGTCACCGTCTCCGGACAGGCAGTCACCGTGGTGGTACGTGTACTGAGGATGGTCGAGGTGGTCACATCGCCTGTGTCAGACGATGGTCTGGGTCCCTGGGAGATTGAGTTGGGCTGTGAAGTGGGGTTCAGGGAGACAGGCTCGCTGACGCTGGTTTGAGTGGCAAGCGACGGGTGCGTGGATACTGCATTCGAAGGACGGATTGGGCTGGAAACAGGCCGGATGGAAGAAGGAATGGCGCTGGAGTGTGGCTGGGGCATGGTCGCGCGGGAGGATCGGATCAGCTGAGATGATGCTGGTCCGGACGGGACGGACACTCGGGTGTTGGATCGAGTTGCAGACGACGGTTGGATCAGGGGTCTGGACGAGCTCGATAATGCAGCAGATGACGCCGCAGGAGTCACCGACGATGCAGCCGGCGACGATACCACAGGCGTTACAGCGGAAGACACGGCAGGCGAAGACACGGCAGGAGATACCGAGCGAGTGGGAATCGCCAGAGATGACACAACAGGAGTCGAGGCAGGTGATACCACAGCAGATGATATTGAGGGCGTGGATACCGCAATGGATGACACCGCAGGAGTAGATACCGCAGCAGACGACACAGGCGACACAACAGCAGACGACACAGGCGACACAACACTCGCGGTGGGCGTCACAATCTCGACGGACGAGCTCAGCGACGTCGGAGTAGGGGTCGGGGTCGGGGTGACCAGGCTGCTCGTGCAGGTCTCGGTCTGATAGGCAATGGAGATTCCATCCAGATAGAGAGTCGGTTCACCACTCGAACACATAACGTAGAAGTAGGGCCAGGTGACGGAGCTGCCCGCCCCCTGGTACTTGGTCACGTCCATGGACACATACTTCCACTCGGTCACGTCCTGGGTCACGTAGCCCGAGACCAACGGATACTGCTCGTTATTATCGAAGGTGGCGACGAACTGGCACGACGAGGCTCCGTTCAGGTAGAGCTGGTAGTAGAACGAAGTCGTCCACGTGTTGGTGGGAGGGAAGCCATTCCGGTTGCTGGACACCGACAACACGGTTTGCTGGCTGCCACTGTACATAAGGCCCGCCGTAATCTCTCTGAGGTTTATCATTAGCGGGAGACTGTTCGTTGAAGAGCCAGAAGATCACGGCCAAGCTCACAGAAAGTATTCTCCCTCGGGTGCAGCGTCGGACTTCACCACCAATGCGGAGGATCCGGCGGTATCCCAATAGTTGGTGTTGCCCGTTTCGAAGCCTCCATTGAGCGCATAATTGGCGGTCGTCTCGCTGCAGACGGTGACATATTCGGCCAGAGTGGGGGCCACCGCCAGCAGGAAAGGAATGAAGGACTGCTTCATGTTGGGGTATCAAAATGCTGTAGAAGAAAAGAAGGAATCAAAGAGTGACGCAGATCATTGCCAATCGAAGAAAGAATGGACGAAGCGCAATCGGCCTCAATGTCGACGACGGAGGAAAAGCAAGAACAAGAGTACAGGGGAGACTCTTAAAGTACTATACAAACAAGCTCTCTCCTGGGAGTGGAATTAGTGTATAGAGCTGATGATGGCGAGCATTGGCCCACCGCTTCTAGTTCCATTGGTAGTGAAGGATCTGTGGATTCAATAGTAGATCGTAAAGTCAGCGTATAGGGCTAGTTTAGCCGACATGCGAGATGGCGTGCACCAGGACGGTCAAGGGACCCGACGGCCGAAGGCTTGGCTGATCGAGACCCTCGATCGCATGGTGAAAAATCGGAGTCGCCGAATCCAGGATTGAGAATGGATGCGATTTACTTACTATCTCGAAGAGTCAGTAAGTTAGATTATGGTGGACCAGGGCCAGGTGACATCCTCGCTACATGACTCCATTCACCAGCCGCACTGCAATGCCTCAGGAAGAGTGGAATCATATTTCAATCAAGCTGGGGCGAACCGTCTAGATTACCAGTAACCTGATTGTCGGGATGTGAGGGTTAATGCTAGTCATGGGATCCAACCTTAAAATAGCTCCCATGTAAGCAGAGTTGAATAAGATCGTCTCAGCGCTAGTACAAGTCATTGACAGCGCAATCACATCAGATTTTGTGCAGGGAGTCCATTCATAGAAGATAGAAAGAGTTGTCATTGCAGCACCAGTGCACTCTTATAGTTCTCGAATAGTGAGACGATATCCATACCGAAAAAAAAATATTACCGCTACCAGCGAGCCGTTGTGCTAATGGATAACTGAGTTGTATATATGCCTGGGGAAGCCACCAACAGTCTTTCTACATCCCACCAGTAACCAGCAGATAACGTTAGCAACCATTATCGAACGGGAAGACTAAGACCGCACAGCCATTGATCAAAAATGGCAAAAAGATGGAGCTGCGGGGAATCGAACCCCGGACCTCTCCCATGCTAAGGGAATATTATACCACTAAACCACAGCCCCATGTGTTGAAATCCGGGTCCAAAGTAGGCTTTATGCTGCTAATGTTTTGCTGCAGTCGTTGCTGGGTAAATTCGCAGAGCAGAACGGCGGCCATCCATAGCCACTTCACCAGTGGATCGACCTCAACCAGCAGATAAACCGTTGGCCCAAGCACCCACTCATTCTTCTCTAACCCCGAAATATTACTGCGCATATCTCCAGCCAGAGCCATGGCATATATACTTTCACACCAAGCCACCTTCAGCCCTCAAGCCCTTGCTTTCAAGCACTCGTCAAGCATAGCTCTCAAGTACAAAATCACTGGCTAAACCAAGGCTCTGGCACCAAGCCCGAGTGGCTGACTAGCTGTACTGTACATGCCCCCCATTCCCAAGCCAAGAGCATTCACCAATCCTCCCCCCTACGCAAGGATCCTCCTGAACAACGGATCCTGCAGCAGTGTCTCCGAATCCCCCACCCTCAAAGTGACGCACACCTCCCACGGCGCAGTCGCACGATCCCGGACCCCACCGCCAGACATCCGCGCCGGGAGAAAGATACATCCCCCCGACACCAGCGCCAGCCCCGGCTCAAAATCCTCAATATATCCTAGCCCCGTCCCAAAGTCCAAGGAGTAAGTGTTGAGATCCCGCCAACTCGTCACAATAATCCCCGCGGGTCGGCCTTCGACCGTCGCCCAGTCGTCGTGGTCGGCCACGACGGCCGAGGCGCTGTACGCCACCGTCTCGTCCATCGCGGACAGTCGGGTGCGCACTCTTAAGGCCAGCTGCGCGAGGCGGCGGAGATCTCTCTCCTCGTCTGTCGTGGGGTGATCCTCTGCCGAGGGGAGGGGCTTCGGTGGGTCGATTGTGTCGTGGATGGGGAAGATCATGTTCCCCACGTATGTATCTGGGATGCGGGGACGCACGCGGTTGCGTAGGTTGACGGCCATGAGGAAGTCCGCTGGCTCGGGGGTGGTGGTGGTAGTGGTAGTGGGGGTTGATGCTCGCTCTGGATGAAGCACGCGGTCGACGCAGAGGGCCAGCGTCGCGGTGATGATGTCGTTGCTGGAGATCCAACTTGCAGTTGTCGGGGACAGGGTCTGAAGCTGCTCCGTGCAGAGGTCTTTCAGCTGCGCTACCTTGTGTGGATCGAAGGTGTACCGGTTGGTCTCGACCACGAAGGCCAGCGCGGACTCCATCGCGCTCCACTGCTCCGTGGAGGTGCTGGGGTCGAAGACGGGCGGGCCCAGTTCGACGCTGTGGTCGAGACGGGTCTTGCACTGGGCTGGGAAGCTGGAGACGTGGTTGCGGAGGGTAATGTGCGTCGCTGCGATGATCTGGGCGAGAGGAGTCTCGGTTTGCTCCGTGCTGAACTGACAACACTCAGCTAGGGCTTCGAGGATCACGCCGGCTCCCGTGCCGTCGAAGACGTTATGCCAGAAGGACATGGCCAGGACGAGCTTGCTGGGGAACACATTGGCCTGGAAGCGGAGCACGGGTCTCTGCTCCGAGGCGGGAATGAACGTGGGGAGGGCCAGGTACGCTTGCACTGGGTGCGATCGTAGCTCCTTGTCTTGGTCGAAGTACTTTATCTGTAGCATGGAGACTTGAGAGAGAGGGACCTGCGGTGGTGCGATGTGCATACGACCCTTCTGCCCATCGGGTTTTTGATGGAAGACCACATCACCCGCCAACCAAGGCAGTTGCCAAACGAGCTTGTCAATGCCACCCTTGAGGGTGTTGAGCGCAGTTTGTGGGTCGGGTGTATCAAAGTACAAGATGAATGGCAGGAAGAGTTTGGCGGGAATGTGATCAAGAGGGCTCAGGGCCACAGAATCAGCACTGGCTACGCCGGGCATGATGAAAGCTGTGAGACTCAACCTGAATAGCAGCAGTCTTGAGGGTAAGATTGCCACAAGGCGTTCGATGCGGGAATAGGCACATTGTATCCTGCGATCAGCCCCTGACGGACAGTGGGCTCTCAATTTCACACCATCCCCAGGGAGAGCCTGTATGGGCTAATTGCTGCATTTGAGGGGAATGCGTCATTCAACAAGGATGTTTCTTTGTTTGACACAGCCGAACACAATGGACTCACCACCAAGGACGAATCAAGGGCGATAGCTCATGTCAGGTCTTGCTAATCGGATCCACAGCCGACCACAGTTCATAACGGGTTGACATATGACCTCCTGACGCCAGTGCTAACAGCGCGCTCGTTTGGCCCATTCAGGGACTGTGTGGGTCGTGGTGGGCACTCGGTGTCAAGGCATCAGCCCTAAAAGGAACCGGCTGTCCTAGCGTCAGAATGGCAGGTTTGAATGCCTGCTAGTACTAGGGACGGTGCGATTGCGTACGTAGACCCTTGCAAATGTCTTATTTGTGCTTTGATGAGGGTTTTAGTGACATAATATCGCTTGACTGGAAAAATGTTGAAGTGGCCTTGAGCGGAGTCCAGTCAACATTGTGCTGGTTTCCCTCTCCCCCCCTTCTGAATCCTATAACTAGGACTGTTCAGCACGCCTGAACAATCCACAAGACAACTATCATGAGGAGACTATGGCCAACACAAATGTCGCTCCGTCGCAGTTACCTGATCATACGCCGCTGATGGTGCACACCGTGAGGGGTGTGATCGGGACGTGTGCTGTTCGCATCGGACTTCTCCATCAGACAACCCAAGACCAATGTTCTGACCGTGCAAGCCAAGGTAATGGTCCTAGCTTTCGCGGCGCTATCACTTATCTTGACCCGGTATGCAATCGGGTACCACCTGACCTTCACCACCAGTACGTTTACGTCCTCTTTTGCCTATATCTCTGGGTTGCATTGGCAGTCAAATGCAGCCTGACCGTGTTCATAATGCGCATCTTCCCCACGCCAAAGATCCGCCGCATTGGACTGATGATAATGGCACTGATGGCCATTGTTACCGTGTCCGGCGAGCTGCCTTTGATCCTGCAGTGCCGGCCCGTCCGCGCCACTTTGGACAAAACGCTCCCGGACTACCAATGCTTCTCCGACGCCGTGCTGGAGAACCTCCAGCTCTACCAAGCCATCCTGATGCTCCTGCTCGACCTGATGATCATCGGCCTCCCGATGCCAACAATCTGGAGGCTGCAGATGCCCATCCAGCGCCGTCTGTTCGTCATTGGGATCTTCTGTCTCGGGAGGAAGACACTTCTCCCTTCTCCACAATTCCCGTTCTTTCTCCCCTAAAGGCTGACTAAATCACAGGACTCGTCGCATGCGCCGCCGGCCTCACACGCATCCCACTTCTGGGGTTCCAAGAGAACTCCACAGACTATACATGTACCGTCCACCCCTTTTCCCTGGCCCAGCTGCACATGGTAGCCTAACACCGCTGCGCTAGACGTCGGCGCCGTCCCACTCATCCTCATGAACCTCGAGTACCCACTAGGCTTGATCACCGGATCACTGCCGTCGCTTCGCGTCTTAGTCCGATTCATCCCCGGCCTCAACAGCAGCAGGCGAAGCACGTATCCAACTCAGGAGTGGGACCTGAGTGAGCCGGCCGAATGTCGACTCGGGGGCCGACCGCGCTGGATGCATCGATTACGAGGCGGCGACGCGAAGAGCATCGAGAGCGAGAGTCAGCAGCATATCTTGGAGATACGGGGGAGTCCTCGCCCCCCGCAATCTGCGGATTGCGGGTGATGGCGTTTGCAAGGGGTGGGGGGCGGGGCGCATTCATAGACTTTCCGGCAGTATACTAAAGCATGTGTTGCTAGGCACAGGACTATAATTTTTAGTCATGGGAACAGTCAGACGGTAGGCTGTAAGATACTGACACCCCAAGTAGAACCAAAATCCGTGATAAGCTGAGCAAATGAAACGAACACCAGCCCCCATCCACCAAAACACCACCCCTACGCCCCTCTACACCCCCCTCAACCCCGCCAACTCCTTCCGCATAAACGCCGCATAAAACACGACCTCATCCCCGGCGACCCCGACCTCCCTCCACCTCGGCTCCTCCTTCCACAACACATACCCGCGCCGCGCATACCACCACTGATTGCAGCCCATGACGGGCGGCTCGGCGCCCGTGCGGGCCCACACCCCGGTCCCCTCGGGCGACTCATCCAGGTAATGGCGCTCGCTCAGGGTCGTCAGCGCCAGCCCCCGGCACTGCGTCTCGGTGGTGGCGGCCAGCGCCTCGACGAGGTCCATGGCGCGGCTGCCCAGCCCCAGGCCCCGGTACGCCGGGAGGATGAAGAGGGTCTGGACGGTGAGGACGGCGCGGTCGGCGCGGGCGAGCTCCTCGTCGGCGGGGTCGCTGTACGCGTCCAGTGAGATGTGGCCCGCGTAGACGACTTTGTTCTCCCCACGGGCGGCTGTGGCTGCTGCTGCTGCTGCAGGGTCCGGGATGCACAGCCAGTAGAACCCCTTCAGGCTTTCGTCTTGCTTGCGCTTCCAGCTTTCCAGCTTGGGGAGGTCGTGGTCCCAGCCGCAGATCTGGCGTTGGCGGTGGATCTCGGCGAAGTCGGCGGGCGAGTGCAGGTTGATCGGGGTGAGGTGGCAGGGGGGTGTGGTGGGTTTCATTCTGTTGGTTTGTGTTCTGTTGTGTATCATGTGGTGTGGTGAATCACGATTTGTGGGGGTGTGTGGTGTGTTGTAGAGAGGAGTTGATTTTTGATGTTCTGGAGTGGGCGGAGAAGTCACTGATAAGGGAGGCTCTGTGGCACTAGTGCTTACGTGCTTAACGGTTTTGATTGAAGATTGAGGCAACATAAGCAAGTAAGACACGCTAATATCGATTAGGTTATGGGGGAGATGTCTAGACGAATTAGCTCCCTCTTTATGGCGCAATGCCGATGTTTTTAGGCGCTAAAAAACATTACCACAATTATTATAGACTCGATCCCTTGGAAGAACCTTTCCACCACATCACCGTCCCGATAAAATGCACCAGCTATAAATCGGTCTCAATGGACCCAGTGCGGGCCTTGTCTTTGTACAATGACATTTTTGGTCGACCACCGAAAAGAGTCAAGTCACAACGACGACAACCATTTGTCGACAGCCACCTGCATCAGTCTCGCCGTGTATTCCACCTGCGCATGTCATTAGAGATCACACAGAAAACAAAAAACAAAGGCGCAACTTACCACCTCCGGATCCATCAGCGTATCGTGATGGGCATGGTCGATAACATGACACTCGACGTTCTCCTCCCCGACCATCTCCGCCCAACCCCCGGGGCCCATCGACTCCCGCGGCGTCTGCAGCCATTCCTGGCTGGTGCGCGCCTGCGTCTCGGGGCCACACCGCCGCAGGATCTCGTCGGCCTCCACCAGCACGGTGGGCAGTCGATCGGGATCGCCGTGGCCCGCCCAGATCACGAAGATCCGGACCGGAGTGGAGTCCTCGCTGGCCGTGCGCATCGGGCGGGGCGAGTATTTCAGTTTCGCCCGGACCGAGGCCAGGCTGTGCTCTCGCCGGTACGACGGGATCTCCATGTCGGGCTTGCCGGCGCGTCGGATCGCCGGGTAGAAGCCGACGATCTCCAGGAGCTTGACCGTGGGCTCCAGGACGTGCGGGTCCGGACGCGGCAGCGGCATATCCAGGTTGATGATGCCCAGGACTTGCTGGCCCTGCTGCCGGAGCTGGTAGGCCTCCTCGTAGGCGAGGATCGCGCCCATCGACCAGCCCCCAAGCAGGTATGGGCCCTCGGGCTGCAGTTTGCGGATCGTCTTGACGTACAGCGCGGCGGCCTCTTCGACTGTCCAGGTGGCGTCGGACTTGCTCATGAGGAAGGGCGAGCCCAGCGCGTAGACGGCCAGGTCGTTGGCGAATTTCGGGAGCGGCTCGTACGAGAAGGCGTAGCCGGAGCCGGGTGGGGTCATGAACAGGCAGGGGACGCCGGGTTTGGGGATGCCTTGGATGAGGGTGGAGAAGCATTCGCGGGGTGTCTCTTGCGTGGCGGAGTCGATTTCGAGAAGGCTGGATGGGTCGGTAGAGGATTGTAGACGCTCCATGAGCTCGCCGATGGTGTGGGGGGTGAAGAAGAGGGATGATGGGAGAGACACGCCTGTCTCCTGTCGAATCTGGTTGAGCAGCGCAATTGAGGTGATGGAGTCAATTCCGAGGTCAATCATGCGCATGGTCGGGTCGATATTCTCGCCCTTTGCGGAAGCAATGGCTGCTAACAGGGATTCCATGAGCTGCGAGTTGGGATGCGACTCGAGTATTTCCTGGCCACTTGCTTCGATCGCTTCCATCTCCTCTGCGACCGTGTCAGCTGCCAGCCAGTCTGATAATGTGACGTTGCTAGGCATATCCTTCCAGATCTGTGACTTGATCGATTCGAGCAAGCGAACGTCGGCATATGCTGCTAGGTTGACATTCACATCCATCATCGTCGCATCGTTGAGTCCCGATGCTTGGGCCCAGGCTTGTTTCAGCTTTGATTCAAGCATCGCACGACTGTATAGTCTGCTGCGCCCTTGAGACTTCTGGGCCGTCCAGTAGACCTCGACCAGCTCAGTGAGTTTCGACTTCTGGACCTTGCCGGCCAGGGTCCGGGGATAGTCATCCAGCCCTAAGGCCGACACCGGAACCACACCCGCCGGGACAAAGAGAGCCCCCATCTTTGTGCGGACGGTATCTTTGAGCTGGCGTGCCATCTGCTCGTCCACATCCGTCCGCACAACCGCAACAGGCACCTCACCAGCAACCTGATCCGGTGCTCGGACGATCTGTGGCTCGAGCACATGGAACTCCGCCGTCTGGCCCAGCACCGCCTCAATGGCCGAGGGCTCGATATTCTCACCCCCTCGAATGATTGTGTCGTTATACCTTCCCACCAGATACAGCCGCCCATCCTCCCCGACAACCGCTTTGTCCCCCGTGCAGAACCACCGCCGGCCGTCCTCGCTGGTGTAGAACTTCTCGTCGTCCCTGTTCCCGATGTACCCATCTATCAGACTGGGCCCGGAGAAATGCACTTCCCCGACGGCTCCCATCGCGACAGGGACTTGACTACCTTTGGCACAGATGCGCACCTTCGCGCCAGGCAACGGCCGCCCAATCGAGACATCGCGGCCCGAAATCACCTCGTCGATGCTCTCTGCCGCGTCCGTCGACACGACAATCCCCTCGGTCATGCCGTAGAAGTTCTCCACCGCTTGCGCCCCGAGATGGCTCAGACAGATACGGAGCACCTCCTCCGTCGGCGGCGCACCGGCCAGGACCACCCGTTTCAGGGAATGCAGCTTCTGCGCCGGCGCCACCGCCACGCCACTCAGAGCATGCAGCATGGTGGGCACCAACGCGGTGTGCGTACAGCGTTCCTGGCGGATCGTCTCGATCAGTCGCTCGGGGGCGAACGCTTCGCCCGGGAAGACGACGGTGGCGGCATTGAGGAAGGCAGCCATAAGGAACATATACCCGAAGGCGTGGTTGTTGGGCAGCACGACGGCGACGCGATCGCCGGGGCGCATGGGCCGGTTGGGGCTCGATCGCCACGCGCGGGCGACCGTCGTGGGGAAGGCGGAGGCCTGCACGAAGCAGCCTTTGGGCAGGGAGGTGGTGCCGCTCGTGAAGAAGATGGATGATTCCTGCTGGTGCTGCTGGTGTGGCTGCTCCAAGAAGTCATCCGACAGACGACTACCATCGTCAGAAAGTTGGCTGACATCAGACCGACGGTCCTCGTCCTCGTCCCGTTCCTCCTCCGCCAGCTGCACATCCTTCCCCCCAGGCTTCGTGACATGCATGATCTCCTCAAACCCAACCCACCCATCCCCAACCCCTACCTCTCCGGTTGATATCGCAACCAAACAGCACTCCACCTGCAGCTGCAACCCCCGAACCAACCCCGCAACCCGCTCCAACCCAGCAGCAGCAGCAGCAGCAGCAGCAACAACCACCACCGAATCCGGCCGACACGCCCCCACTGCAGTCTCAAGCATATGCACCGCCTCCCTCTCATGCCCCAGACACCTCGGACTCAACGGCACATGCACGCACCCAATCCGGTACGCCGCCCACGTCGCGACCACGTATTCCGCGGTATTCGTCGCAAACAGCACCATCAGCGATCCCCTCCCCACCCCGCGGCGGCGGAGATTCGCCGCGAACCGCTCGATCTTCTCGTCGAGTTGCGCGTACGTCCAGCGCAAGCCCTCTGCACTGGGCTTTTGTGGCGTTGTCGAAGACGCTTCGTCATGATTGGTATAGAGGCTCGCGGGCTGGTGGGGACAGACCAGCGCGAGCGTGTCCGGGTGCTCGCGCACATTCTGCCGGAATTGTTGGTCGAGGGAGGGGAAGGGGTTTGCGAAGAGCGGAGGGTCCCCGGTCAAGGAGCTGGGTTGGGCCATTTGCTCTCCTGTGGGCGGGGTTTCTTTGGGAAATAAGATGAGTGGGTGGTGAGGCGATGTAGTACTGGGAGGTTGGGAGGATCAAGAGCCTGACGAAGGAGGTAAAGATAGGTATGCTTGCGGGTAAGTTACTGGGAGCCTGGGTCTACCAGGCGGGACTTGCCTTCCCTGAACCACGTGCAAAATACAAGAGTACAGGGAAGCAGCGATGTGGGGAGGGGGTGGGATGGAGTCTAAATGGGATTTCCGCGATGCAGTCGACCTGATCAGCTAGACTTGGCTGGAGTCGCTGGACTCATCGACGGAGCACATGGTTCATCGACTACCGGACCACTGGGGCATGCAGGGTTGTCAAAGTGAAACGATCTGCAGTGAGGATTCGCTGCGTACGAGTTTGTGACGAGAGGGTTGTTTACTACCTGGCCTAGACTAACTCCTCTGAGTAAATACCTAGTGATTGAGTGAGGTGGGTCTTGGGCTTTGGGTCCAAGGAGCAAAAGACTTGGACTTGCAACATCGAGGCAGGGATTCACCATCTTCCCGTCCATGCTTAATCTTCAATGCGGAAGAGTATCCTCCATGCGTATTGGACCAACGTAACAAGATAGAGCAACACATGTTCTATGTAGTACAAAACAAAAGCAACCCCAGAACCCCCAAAATCCCAGCGTCAACAACAGAAATGAGAACGCAGTCCCACCCAAATCCAAGGCCGGACACCTACATACCTAGTTTAGTGTACAGTACGTAGTTCCGGAGAACTCCCTGCAAAATTACAACCCCCAAGATCGACCTCCAAACAACCAGATCCGTCCGATTCTCCCGCGAGCTGAAAAGTGGATCCCCGAAAGAGGCCTGCTTGCCGCGCATTTGTGATACGGGTATTTTACACATACGCCCGCCACAGGCCCACCACAGAACACCGAAGAGTGATCGACTGTCATGCAGCTGCATCACCTCTCAGCATCTCCAGGATTGACGAGAAGAGACAGCATCATGACGCATATCATGGCCCAGAACCACCGGGATGATGCATGGCGATGGGCTACGAAGGTTTAATGCTTGCTGTCAGCGTAGTAAGAAGGACGCAACTTGAGGGCTGGCTGAGTCCACGCCACGAACCCATCCTCATCTTTGACGCTAGACTTGCATCATCCTCGCTGATCGGGTCAGTGCACTGCAGCAACCCCTTTTCCCCTTTGCTGTTCCTTTTCCGACCAGAGGTAAAGAAGGTTAGATATGATATGATGTAAGAGAAATTCAAGATTCGAACCATGGACAAACCACCCGACTCCACGGGTAGATCCAGATCGACCAATCAGCTGCAACAAGTGGGGGGGCGGATCTTTTCCATTGCGTCGGGTGTTTGTTTACTTCGTATCGAGCGGAGAAGAATTTCGCACTTCTAGTCAGGCTAGCCAGGAAGCGGTGTAGGTTTTTGTTCTGGAAGAAGCTCTGAGATTGAAATTAAAGGATCATGCTTTTTAAACGTCTCCATCATAGCTGTGGACAATTTGACATTACATATTACTCATACCCGGTAAGCTACTTCAGGGTGTGCTTCTCACTGAGACGATACCGACAATGGTGGGGTGGCCTGGAGGGAAGCTCCTCACTCCTCGACCTGCTCCTTCTTCGGGAACAGCACGATCAGCCCCACGATCGCGGAAAGGAGTAGAGCGGATGCTATGCTCATTGTCAGAATGACTATCTACTCATAGGCGAGGGCATTGGGGGGCAACATACCAGGAATAATCCGATACGCCTCGATAAAACTCTCCTGCACGGTTACCTGAATCCCGTGCGGCAGCGTGCTGGTGAAGTTATAATCCTGGACGATATGCTCGATCAACTGTCGTCCAAAGTTAGGGGTCACATTTCATCCCGGCCATATACACAGTGGAAAGGAAACACATACCCCCCGCTTCCCTGCGACCTCCCCCAACCCCACGGCCACCCGCGCCCGAAACACCCGCTGCAGCGCGGCGGCGCTGACGCTCGTCCCCACGATCTGGCCCACCTGCTGCGCGAGGTGGTACACGGCGATGGCGCTGGCGAGCTGCTCCGCGGGCGCCCGGATCGTCAGCGCGATGAACTGCGCCGACAGAAAGAGCCCGCCGCCGATGCCCCAGGGGAAGCAGTACAGGACTTCGAGGGGCTGGATGCCGTGCAGCCAGCGGAGGACCATCAGGCTTAGCGAGACGAGGGTGATGAGGAGGGCGATGAGGGAGAGTTTGCGGGATTGGAGGTTTCTGTTGGCGCGTTCTGTTAGGGTCGTTGCGGCGGGTGGTGTGGTAGGACTCGGTGGGTGCTCACCTGCTGAGGGCTTTGCCGGCGATGATGGAGCCGGAGATTAGGCCTAGGGCTGCAGGCCAGATGCGGATCGCGATGGCGGAGTTGGAGAGGTGGTCGATTCGGTAGAGGTAGGCGGGTAGGTTGTTCAAGATCTGTGGGAGTGGTTTGGAGTCAATTTTAGGCGGGGGGTTGTGGTAGGGATCGGGCATAAACTGACGGTGGTGACGGTAGCAAAGTAGATGATCTGACCACCGAAGAGGGCCCCAAGCCCTGGGGAACAGACAATCGAAGGGGGGATGATGGGGTGCTTGGTCCCGAACCGCTCAATCAGCACAAACACCATGAGAAAGATCCCCGACACAGCGAGCAAGGCTGGAGTCTGAGACGAGAGATAGGCGATTCCCCCCTCGGTGGTCGCTAGGATGAAAGACGTGACTAGGATGAAAAAGCTGGCCACCCCAAAGTAGTCGAAGTTCCACAGACTCAGGTGCTTGGTTGAATGTGTCTCAGTGGCCGGGGTAGTCGAGAACTGCCATTGCGCAAGAGCCAGACAGAGCATCGCGATGGGGGTTTGACCGATCAAAGACCTGAGCATCAGTGTCAGTCCAGTCACAGGAGTTGATTCAGCCCAAGGCTCCGAGCCTACCATCTCCAGCCGACCAGGTCGGCGACCAACGCCCCCAAGGGTCCTCCACAGCCCTGGCCGACGATCCCAGCTGCGATGATGTAGCTTCGCACTGATGCGACTTCCGTGATGTCGAACATTTCTTGGGGTCCCGTCAGCATCGCCCTGTACCCCGGTATGACGAGAGTTACCGTTCACCAGGACCGAGAGGAGATCGGTCATGCCTGCACCGCCCATCCCTGAGATCAAGCGACCCAAAACAAAGGGCCATAGGGTATCGGAGATGCCACTGTTGAATCCAGCATGAGTTCAGGCCCATATCCAATGACTGAGTCTCGATGAACGACGTACGAGATCAAACATCCAACCGCGAAGAGGCCGTATGCCGAAAGAAGGAATCGTCGACAACCGTAGATGTCGCTCAGGAAGCCATACTAGATCGAGTGCCGTCAGCCGTCAGCCGTCATCCTTGGTAGTAAAGTTGCAGAGGGCCACAAACCACCGGCAATGCGATGCAGAATCCCACATTGTAGATGACCAGCAGCAGCGACGCACTGGACGGCGAATGCAGCGACGAGGCGATCTCGCCTTGAGTCGCCAACAGAATGGACTTATCTGCGCTCGCGAGGAAGACACCTGCGGTGCGATCTCCAGTCAGCTTGAAGATTATCACGGATTCAGACATCACGCACCAACTAAGCCCGCCAAAATCCTACTGAAGTAGCCTTTGCCGGTCGGCGGACGGTCGCCTTTGCGCAACAACGGAGTCTGTTCATGCGCCATGCTGGTGTGAATTCGACGAAAGCCGAAACCATGAGGAACAGAAGTGAGCACAGACGGAATGACGTCCGAATTATCACTGCGCCGTCTGAGCTCCCAAGCTGAGTCGGGCAAGGCTCGGTCCCCTCAGCCCGGGCAGGGAAAGTTAGGGCACATCAACTCAATTGCACCTAAACGGAAAGGGGCAATGCACCGGACGATCGTCAAGCCACCTCATGCAGCCAAGACAATAGTCCATGATCATCGTGTCACAATCCTGTCACAATCGGTGTCACACTGTCAATCGGAGACACAAATCCTCCGATTGTTTACCGCTAAGGCAGACAGACCCACCGGGGGTGGATCGATCGCGATGCAGCTTGATGCAGCTTGACGGCAGCCGATCCTCGATACATGCCGCATACGCCGTCAGAAACAAGAGGGCAAGTGCGATCTGCAGCAAAAGGGGCCGGGTCTGCACGCTGCAGAATCACTCACTCCCTCACTCGGTATAATTCTATTATAAGCCCAAAGGGTCTGCTGACGGACGATCGTCATCTTTCACTTGGCTGACTCTGTAGTATCTTCCACAATTGGCCCTCCCAGATACAAAAAAAATGAATTTCCTGTCGCGGTCACTGACCACCCCGCCAGCGACGGCGGCAACCACGCCCTCGCCCGCAGTCGAGATTCTCAGGCAGTTTCAACAAGAACACCCGGACATCAAATTCCTGCGCTGGCAATGGCAGGACTACTCGGGCGTGCAGCGGGCGCGCGTGGTCCTGCTGGACACCGCCATCGCCCAACTGGCCGAGGGCCAACCCATGAAAGCGACCGGGCTGGCGCTGACCTGCTCCGTCGACAACCACCTCATCCCCGGCACCCCGACCGACGCGCAGTTCTGGCTCGTGCCGGACTGGACGACGCTGCATCCGACGATCAGCCCGGGGAGCGCGCAGGTGCTCTGCTCGCTGGACTACACCCTGCCGGGGCAACCGATGACGCAGGCGCTGTGTCCGCGCCACACGCTCTCTCGGGTGCTCGAACAGGCCCAGACGCGATGGGACCTCTCCTTCCTGGTGGGATTTGAGGTCGAGTTCGTGATCATGAAGCCGCACCCCGAGACCGGCAGGCTGGAGCGCTACAGCCGGGGCTGGGGGCTGTTCTCGGTCGCGGGGCTGCGCGACCCGTGCTACACGCACGTCGAGCAGTGCGTGCTGCAGCTGCAGGCGCGCGGGGTCGACATCCAGGCGATCCACACCGAGGGCGTCCGCGGCCAGTACGAGTTCGCACTGGGGCCGAAGCCGCCCCTGCAGGCAGTCGACCAGCTGCTGCTGGTGCACGGCTACCTGAAGGACACCTTCGCGCCGCTGGGGTGCGCCGTCACCATGGTCCCCAAGCCCGTGCCGGGCGACCCGCTGGCCAACGGCCAACACACCCATCTCTCGCTGCAGCCGAACCCCGCGCCGGAGCTCGAGGCGTCGTTCCTCGCGGGCATGCTGAGGCGGCTCCCCGCGCTGTCGGCGTTCTGTCTGCCCCAGGATGTCTCGTACGAGCGGCTCAAGCCGTTTGTCGGCGGCGCCGATGCCGTGGGCTGGGGCACCGAGTGTCGGCTCACGCCGGTCCGCAAGCTCGAGCCCGGCCGGTGGGAGATCCGCTGCGTCGACGCCATGGCCAATATGTATCTCACACTGGCGGCGGTCATCGGGGCCGGGTTGCTGGGGCTGGAGGGCCGCGAGCCTCTGGTCTGGCCGGATCTGGGGGATCCGGTGAATGCGAACGCGGACCCCGGAGAGCCGCTGCCCAAGAGGCTGGAGGAGGCGCTGGACGTGCTGCACGCGGATGTGGACGGGTTGGCGAGCGTGATCGGGAGGAGGATTATTGATCTGTATGTGGCGACGAAACGGTTCGAGGTGGCTTCGCTGGCGAAGTTGGATCCGGAGGAGGTGCGGGGGCTGTTTGTTGAGTTGTTCTAGATGACGCGGGCCGTCTTGTTCTTGAATTTTATTCTATTGTAATGCTTGGAGGTGTGTTTCGTTGTGATGCTTGTTCTATTGTGGAGGTGGAGTCGTCAACAGTAGGTCGTCAGATGGCCGCGCAACAATATATCACTGTTCCGCAATGCTTTGATGTTCACAGAAAGTGTCCTGTCGACCCCATAATCAGCGCAATGAGGCTACATACTCAGCAGGATGATAGCCCTGTATTGCCAATTCATTTATACCCCCCTCTTCTTGTTTTTTATTCTCGCATCTTTTGTACTCTCTTCACCCATCTGGACTCGGCGGGGCTTGAACCTTTGGCCCTCGGCTCATTTATACGTAGCTTGTTGGGACAAGAGCCTGTAGCAAACCTCGGCTGAGGACAACAAGTAGCCAGCATCATTGGTCTAGTGGTAGAATTCATCGTTGCCATCGATGAGGCCCGTGTTCGATTCACGGATGATGCACTTGCTTTTTTATTTTTGGTGGTCTTCTTCCCGGAACACCGATAACCAGATAGATGCCCGCCCCCCTTTATTCCCGAGTATCCAACCCACCACTTTTTTGTGCATGCAGCCCCTGTAGTCTACCGGGCGGCGAGAGTCACCATAAAGCATGATCCACATTTCGTCCAAAGTCACTGGCAGCCATTGTACACACAGTATATACAGCACAAAAGCCCCCCCCCCCCCAACAGCCCTCCCCAGCAATAACTGACCTACACCACCAACTCCCACTCCACCTCCCCCGGCTCCTTCCAATACCGCGTCCCACTCCGCCGAAACCCCAACTTCTCCAACGCCCTCGCACTGCGCACATTCGGCCGCTCCGTCTCCGCAATGAACCTCCTCACGCCGCGCCTCGCCACCGCCCACCGCATCACCGCCGCCGCCGCCTCCGCCGCGATCCCCCTGCCCCAATGCCCCGGCGCCACCCCGTAGCGCACCTCGACCATCTCCTCCCACGGCGGAAGGGGCGGGTCGCCGGCCTCGCGGGCGGGGATCGAGGTCGTCGTGCCGTCGCGGACGCCGGCGTAGCCCACCCACTCGATCGCATCCAGATCGGTGGGTAGACGGGTGACATCCTCGCCTGTTAAGATGGTGATGTCGGGGCTGGAGGTGGATTCCGCGGCTATGGGGATGGGGAGGGAGGAAGGACGTAGCCCCACGGCGCAGTCGCCCATCCCGCGGACGCGCCAGCAGCGCGCGATGTCGCCGGCTTGAATCACGTCTCGGGTTTCCGGGTCGGTCCATTGGCGCGCCGGGAAGTGGGCGCCGAAGCCCATGGTGCAGAAGTCGGGGTTGGCGTGGAGGGAGGCGTACAGTTTGCGGTAGGTGGGGGAGGAGATGGCGATTGGGGTGGGGAGGATTATGAGGCGGGGGGTGAGGATGGCGAAGGGGGTCCAGCGGTGGTTGGGTGGTTCTGGAGGGTGCATTTTGCGGTTGGATGGATGTATATGATAAGCTACTACTAGGTAACTACTAGTAGGCACTGTGGTTGATGTAGGGTGCAGTGATGGAAAGAGGACTCGAAGACAGCCGCGGGCGGCTGGACAGGGCCAATGTTCTGGAAACCAGCCTATTATGGATTAGCAGGGGTTCGGGGACGGGCCGGCCAACCAAGTGTCAGTGTCAGTGTCAGTGTTCACAGCCCGGGGGAAAGGGGAGGGGGAGTCTGTTTGTTTGCGACTCACTGCATCCATGATCCATGCCGCGCGTTCCGAACCATCCATCAGGTCTTATTCGGCGTTGCAATCACCACATCCCCCGCGATGACGTCAACAAGGCCAATGGCTGCGGAGATCCAGCCGGGGACATCAACCCATATCTCTACTCAAGGCAGCACGTTATCTGATTTACGTCATGTCATGCCTTGGGCACTCCTCACGGGTATAAAGAATGCGTCGAATGGCAGGTCGAACGCCTCGCTAGCCAAGAAATCTTAAGTCATACCTACCATCAAACCAAAGCTCTCAGCAGAACGATATCCACCACAACAAACCAACCTCCACCATGTCAAGCTTCCTGCACAAAGCCGAAGACGCCCTGCATCTGCATCACAACAAACACCCCTCCCAGGCCCACGACCACCACCACGACCACCACCACGCCCAAGCACCCGAGCAGCCACAGCAACACCACCACCACCACCACCCACAACAACAACCCCACGACCCCAGGGCCCCTGCGCCGCCAGCCGTAGCCCACGAAGGTTCGACATTCCATCCCCGTGCTCCTCTACCTACCCAACTAATCTGTTTTTGGTTATCCCAGGCACCCACCACGACCACAGCCACCACGGCAAACGCGAGTCCCACCACCCTAGCCCCGCCGAGATCGCCCGCGCGGATTTCATGGCCGACCGGCAGTACGACCGGATCTTGAAGTCGCCCGATCACGGCGCGGGGATCGGGTTTGAGATGTGAGAATCCGGTCAGAAAGAGATGTCGGAGGATTGGTCATCGGCGATGAAAGCGAGTCTTTGAGTGTGGAAATATGAATAATGGATAATGAATGGAATTTGTTTCTTTGTGCTGTGATTGTATGCCCGGGTCTTGGCGGGGATGGGGATTGGTTAGTAATCACTTTATTAGGGACAAGCTCCGCCAAGTCGGGTTTGCTTGGGCAGTCGGTAGGGATGGTGGGGTGCATGCATTGCATTGTTGGCTTTGCTGTAGGGATGGCGTAGGGTAAGTGTTGATTTTTGGAATGTTGCTAGGTTAGATAGATGAGGTGCGTGGGCATCTGTGTTGGAGTGTTCAAGATACCATCTGCAATAGCAGAGGCATTTAGCAGTATCCGAAAGACAACTAGTAAAAGGCGACAAGCTACGTATGTACAGAGATACACAATATGTACTGCAACGAAAATAAACAGACACCCAGTGTAGTTATCCACATTCCCACACATATACAGTACTTCCCTTTTTCCAAGAACTTTTGAACCACCGATGCAAAAACTTTTCTCCGCTGGCGGCGTGCAATCCAGGCACGCTCCATAACCTTTGCCAGCCAGCCACCTCTTCCCACTATACCAACACAAACACAGACACCCATCACAACCATCACAAATCTTACATCAACCTTCCTCACGGCCGACCCACCCACACGGCTGCATCAAATCGACGTCGACCGATACGCCCACAAATACTTCGCGATGGTGCGCCACCCCTCCTCCCCGGACCGGCGATTGTAGTCCAACCCCCTGGCCTCGAGGGTGGTCTCGGCGGCGCGCTCGGGGGTGCGCGCGAAGCCGCGGAACTGGGCGAGGATCTCGCGGATGCGGGGCGCGTCGGTCCGGGTGGAGAAGATGGTCTGCTCGTAGAGGCCGCGGAGCCCCAGCAGCAGGAGGCCGTGGCACGGGTGGTGGGCGTAGAACTGGACCCGGTCGCCCTGGACGATGCCGGCGAAGGAGACGCGCGGGGCGCGGGCGTCGTGGCGCGGCCACCGCGACATCAGCAGCGGCCAGTCGGTGCCCTTGAACGCGCTGTGGCCCGCGATCAGCGTCAGGTGCGTCCCCGTGCTCGCGCTGTGCACCGTCAGCATCTCGTACCCGCGCGCCTCGCACCCGCCCCCGTGCGCCAGCGAGTCGCGCACCACCGGGTCGTCCCGCTTCACCACGAACCCCTCGTGCACCGGGAAGTACTGCATCACGAGCGCCTGCCACGAGGACGGCGGGGAGGAGTGTTGCTGTCGGTACGGCCAGTAGCCGTAGTGCGGGGCCCGCGTGAGGCCGTAGCATTCCATTTGTGTCGGATCTGAAGGGCTGGGTTTGGGTTAGGGTTGGTGGTGGTGGTGGTTGTAGCGCAGGGCTAAGTGTATTGGTGGGAGGTAGTGTTAGCCTGAGAGAAGCAGTTCAGAAAGGGGGTCACCTTCTGTTTGCTTGTTCTTGTTCTTGTTCTTGGAATTCTGAGTTTATGATTGGATCTGTGGGGGCATAGGACTACCGTCACGGTGGGTTTACAAGGTTGTTCGTAAGCCATAAGCGTTGCGAGGAATGAGCTGATAAGAGGGGGGGAAAGGGGAAGGGGCTGAAGGAGCGGGGCTCAATGAAATATTTATAAGTTTGGGTGGGACGGAGCCTGAAGAGTCGTCGTTCTGCTTTGTTTGCATCGATTTCGACGGCTTTACAAGGCCTCGTGGTTGTGTGAACTGAGGCTTGTCGTGCCTTTGATGTATAGAGGAGATCTCCAGCAATCAGCGCCGGGAGCGATAAAGCGTCCTTTCAAGGTGGATCGAGGACAAAGATATTGTATGAATTAGCTGGTTAAGACAAGAGTATCTTCTGTATCTTTTATTGGTTGTTATTGATGGAATTACCTTCATTCAGAATATGAAAACAGCGACGACGGGGTCACTCGTGCTTTGCATGGGTGCTGGCCATATGTGGAGGTGTGGAGGCGTGGAGGTGAGGGAGAGAGGGCTTCTTTGTTGCACTCCCCGACTCCACCCACAACAATGCCATTGTTCATTGTCCACGCTCCGCCTGGTCCATCGACGCCAAAGCATCTTTGATCAGCGCCTGTGTACTTCGCCGCACCAAGTGAACCCCGAAGCAGTTGATCGTATTTTTCCAGGAGGACCAGCGGGCCCGGTCAAAAGCCTTGGATTCCTCCGCCTCCGGCTCATCCACTTGATCCCCGGCCACGCAGGTATCCCACATGCGCTTCCCCGCCAGAGCGAACCAGAAGCAAGCGGCGCGGACCGCCTCTTCCTCCAGCGCGTTGACGTCGGCGTTCTCGAACGCGCGGGCGCACAGCCGGAGTCCCAACCGGGAGAAGTCCATGCGATGGCCGAGCCGCGGGATGGCGTTCGTCAGCTGGGCGATAAAGCAGTTGCGATTCTCCCACTCTTGCACCTCCTGCGGCGGATAGTCCCGGCAGTGATCCCCGCAGGGCGTGCGGTGCTGCATCCCCGTACACCGGCACGTGGGGAGCCCCTTGAACACGTCCAGCGGGGCGAACGTGTACCGGTGGTTGATGTATTCGCGGAGGCTGGGGAGATCGGTCCACATCCGGTCGGCGAACGCCACTCTCACGATGCCGCCGCGCCCGGCCGAGTCGTGCACCGCCGTCCGTTGCAGCCGCATGACCAGGTCCAGCAGCTTGGTCTGCTCGTCGGGAGGGAGGAGATAGGCGAGCTCGCACAGCGCTTGCATCGTGTGGAATGCATGCTGCTGGTTGAGCCGGTTCCGCACGTAGGGCCGGTGGGTATTCCGCCCCTGCTGGAACTGGCTGTCGCGCTCCTGCAGGAGCTCCTGGATGGCCTCCTCCGCGGTCTTGTCGGGGTTGTTGACCAGCGCGTGGATGATCCAGAACTCCCGGTGTTGCGTGAGCCGCCTACCGAACCCGTACTCCCGGATTCGGCCTGCCATGATTCCGTCCATGATGTCAGTTGTAACAGAGGTTGGTGATTGGAGACTCAAAGGGGTGGATTACCTTGTGAAGTTGGGGAGGATGGTGGACTAAATTGTGGCAGCGGTGAGTGGCTTATATAGACGTCTCCATCCTCAATACCATCTATGCTGAGTAGACAAGCTCAATACAAGGGATGATGTATCTTTGTTGCTTGCACTCGATAGGAGAAGATCATCACTCTGTCAGGGACACCCTCTCAAAGATGTATAGACAAAAGATATGTCACGTGCATTATACCTACTCGAGATCTTTGTACGGTGGAGGCTTGGCCACTTGGGCGTAGCCAGACCAACCGTGGGTCAGAGCTGATGTTCATTATAGGACGCAGAAGGAAAACTGCTTGTGTCTGGGGCTGGAACTGAGTGAGAGGAGAAGCAGCAATCATAAGATATCGTGTGGGGTTGCTATTGTGCACTAGTATTGTATCACAATGCTCAATGCTTGATCGACCATTTCTGTAACTAGCCACGGAAAAACACGCTGTCTGCTACGTAGCCCCTCCAGAGCTCTAGGCATGTGGCATACAGGCACCTTCTGTTAGCTCTGCTCACGCTCCACTGCGGGCTCGTCAGAATGGGACCCAGCATGACAGGCGGCAGCATTGGAGCGACTAAGGGACAACGTGGGACAATCACCTCAAAGCGATCAACAAGATATTGCATTAGCGTGTTTACGGGATTAATTCACTGAACCCCTAGTGACGCACGGTCTTCTTCGCGGTTATGGCATATACTCCACTCTGACTAGTAGTGTATGTCAGCCGTAGTCGAGTAACATTCACCTTGGATCAGTTGTGGTATCTTTATCAAGCACCGGTTATTGCCTTGCAGAAATCATGAGACAATTACATTAATCGACTTTGAGTTTTGATCGATGTGACGGGACAAGGATTCAGGCACAAGTCACATTAGGGCTGAGACGGATCAACACTTGTCTGTAGCTTGCCGATGCCTTGGATACTGTGTATATGGGACTTAGACAGAATAATCCCTTTCCCAATGTGTGCGTGTCTCTATCACTTGGAAATCTGAGTCTGGAGTCTGGAGCCTCTAAGAGGAGGACGAGAAACTGAAACTACGTTCATACCTAAATGGTACACTCCCAAGTGGAAAGGCCTTGTGGTGTCAACGTAGTCAAGAGTTACAACGTTAACCCTCACCTTGAAAACCAGATTGCGAATTAACTCCTAGAAAATTCATACAATATTGGAGGTATTCAGAAGTGCGATAAATAAGTGTATTTTCACAACCATAAGTCGTATAGGATGGTTCCCCACTGTGGCCATGAGTTATAACTCCCCGAGCCGTATCTAGAATAATGCCTTTCAGACAGCCTGTAAAACAGGTATAGTCTACCTGTTGAGCAGAAGTTGAGCAGAAGATCTGCCATATATATCATGTAACATGTTAGGTACAAGAGATTACAACCAGATCCAATTTCCCATTCGTCAGTGCTTCTACCAGTGGAGCGCAGAGGATTATCACGGAGAGTATCTGCACTTCAAGGTAAAGTAGCAGTAAGTAGGAGTAGGGGCGAAAATTGCCCAGTTCGGTGAACCTTCCTACTAGTACAATTCAACCATGGGGCACTTGAGAAAACCCATGAGAAGTGAGATGGTGCAAAGCGTGAGTACCTTGGGAGAGCTGTTCATAGAACACGATTTAGGATGCAATCAACATCAGTACATAGTAGTTTGGTTGAGTTGCGCATTGAGGCAGTTCGTTCTTGCCAACCGAACTCATCCGATCCGGGCCAGCGGAATGACCACTTATTCTGTTGAGCCATGATACTTAGTACTGTACATCTCGGAGTACAGACGAGTGGATCGGGCACTCTACCTGCAGTGGATCGACATTGGCTAGCAACTTTCATTTTTTTTTTCTCTATTTTTTTTTTCTCTATTTTTTTTTCTCTATTTTTTTTTTCTCTATTTTTTTTTTTTCGTTTTTCAAAACCTATTCACTGTCGCGATCACGGAAGCATCCAAGCTCTGATAGCCACGGTCGCGATCAAAAGATGGTGATTCAAAGGGAGACGTCACCTCCCAGCCAGCCGGCGATATCCGGAGTGCATTCAGATGCAGCTCGAGGACCGAGCGACAGGGTGATCTGCAGTCAGGTTTTCAGGATAGCTCCCGCACTAGTCGAAGAAAAGGGCAAGAGGGTTGTAGATCGATAGCTCCTAGCTCCACGACTGGCGTACGACAGCAGCTGAGGAAGAAAGATCGGAAAAGCAAGAGCATCTTTCAGCTCCACAGCTTCCCCAGCGAGTGTGCAGCACTGCAGCACTGCAGCTCCTCAGCAATCCCAGCGTCCCAAACTGCGGCACAATTCGGGCGATCTCGCCTAAAGCTCGGTGGGGTGAGATCTTCCGACCAGGGCCAGGTTCATCTAGCAGGTAAGTGAGACTTTTCACCTATCCTGGACAATTCTCCACATGTGATGTTGACCGATGGTAGACAGTGATGGGCAAAATGACAGCTTGCAATCCATGTTTTGTCATGGAAAGGACGGGCCGATGCCGCAACCAGATTTCATTACTAGCTCCAGATACAATGAACAGCGGTGAACACTGAGAACCTTCGATTGTGGATCCTAACCGAGCGTAAAAAAAGACAAGGAGAATGAAACCTGCCTCGGCAATCAGTGTCTTCCGAGAGCCTAAAGGTAAAGCTCAGCCTAGAATTATGGATATTTCTAGAGCTATGAGGACTGGAGAGAAGGTGAATATTTCCGAGCGAACCGCGCGAACCCCACCGATGATCTTCTTGGCAGCCCCCACAGCTGAAAATGATTTCCGATCTGATTTACGATACCGTCATCGTACCGTACTCGATTGTCCCTGTGCCCGGCACGCTACTTTCCTTGACCTGCATGTGTCTCCAAACTTCAGGAGGAATTATGGTGATGGTAGGGAGTAGAGTAATCTAGGCATGCTACAATGAAATCTCACTACAAAATGGAATTTGACTTTCAATTAAAGAATTCATAACATTGAAATGTAGAAAGGATTGATTTCCCTGGCTTCGACATGTGGCTGGTGTATGTACTTGAGCATTCTCAGGTGCCAGGAGCTCCAGTCGGAGTGATGCGACCCTTGGCGTAGATAAGATGCTCACCACCGGAGTAAGGGTAGGGAGTGTTGACGAGTTGGTAGATATGATCCCATTTGATATTAGCATGGCAGACCTAGATAATTGCATTTGGTGGTTAGCACACTGAGATTAGCCTGGATGCTTCATGGTTTTAGGGCTACTTACTCCCTTCTCAGGCTCACCGCCGAAGCTCCTCCATCCCACTCCCAAGCAACGTGGAGTCAAGGCACATGCTTCAGCACATTCCAGAATCGATTGGCGATGCCACCAGATCTCTTCAACCGCCCCGTTGGTGCGGACATTACATTTGACCTGGAAA